ATATATATATATATATATTCAAAATGTATTCAACGATAGGCTTTTTATATTCTTAACAATATCCAGTTCTTTATCATGCGTGACATCATTTTGTAATTTCAAATGACGAATTTCTTCCCAAGTTTTAATAATCTCATACATGTTTGATCTATATTCTGGATTTTCTAGGTTCACTGTAGGGATGACCTTTTCAATTTTGAAAAACACAACAAAGTATGACAATTCACGATAAGACGAATGCTCACTGTAAGGCAAGCTGTAAATCTTACATGCTTGTCCATCCTTCTTTTTTTTACTTTGCCTCATTTCTCCTTGCGAGACGATATCGTCGGCGCAAGAAAATCGTGGCCTTTCTTTCATTATTTTGACGACCTCACCCAACCCATGAACCTTTACCGAAGTGTCACATTTATTCTCATCTACTTCTCTTTCTACTGTATCCAGCGATTTGGAAGCATATTTATCGTGGAAGGTCCAACCTGTAGGCTTTATCCCAATACATTTTTCAAAATGGAGAAAGTATTTATTGTGGTTAAAGTAATTTAGTATCTCCTTAGAACCATTAACAATTTTCATAGGGACTAAATGGATCACACAGTCGGTATCGTTTCCAAGGTCGTCATCAACCAAATTCAGATTCAAGTACTCATTATTATAACTTCTTAGAATCGAAGATTTATCAGAACGGCTACCGATTGTCAGTGCAAATATAGGACAGCCTAACCTTTTCAGGATAGAAATGGCAAGGTTTTCTTTACCAATTAAGTAAGTTCCAATTAAAATAAGAAGTTTTTTCTTCTTCTTTCTAAGAGGTAAAAGATCAGTTATGCGGGACTGTGTTACAGCTCCAAATAAGGAGGAGCATAAAGTTTTCCCGTCGTGACTAATCAAATCATATAACATTTCAGATATCGATTCGCAAACCAGTTCCTGCTTTGGGAAATTGTAATTTGGTGACATATAAGTTGTATCAAGGTAAACCTCGTCTAAGGAGCTTCCGCTTTCCTTATTCTCAATACTGAATCGAAGAAGCTTAGGATGCTTCAATATGCTACTGTTAACTCTAAAATCTCCACAATGAAGTGCCCAAAAATCGGTTCTATCAGCTGCAATAGACTGGAAAAGAAAAATTGCAGCTCCAGGACAATGATTAGCAGTTATGGGAGTGACATATAGACCCAAAGTTTCACCTTCATCTTGACATCCACCATCTTCAACCTCCAGGCAATCATAGCTTTTGACTTTATATCTAGTGTCAAACTGTAAAACTTTCATAAACCTTGGATCTATTGAAAACCTCATTGTCAAGAGTTTTGAAGTAATTTCAGTGCAATAAATTAATCTTTTGTATTTCAGTTGATCTTCGAAATCTTCCACATTCTCGAATAGCCTTTCATAACACCACTTTTTTGATATACCTCCATAATGATCGGAGTGAAAATGAGTTAAAAAATATTGATCTATACTTTTATCGTGGGAATAATGGAAAGCATCGACTGCGATTTTATACCAAGATTTGTATGAAATAGGGAAAGAAAGTATCTTGACCTCAGGGATGCCGGATCGGGTAGTAGATAACTTGAGGTTACTTGGGGGTTTAATTACGCTCTTAGAGCCACTTTCTTCAACCTTAAGTTTCTTATTGACATACTTCTCTTTCTCTTTTAACAATGGTGCCACATATTTTCCCTTCCTCTTTTTTGAAGATTGAATATCAATTTGTACCTTTTTTTCACTTAACAACAGTTGTGTTAAACATTGTTCGACATGCCTTATCCTGATTTCAAAAGTTAACTCGCTGATGGCAATGTTGCAAACAGGACATATAATATCTTGAATTTCACTCGTATTAATTTCATCGTCCACATATTCTGATTTGACGAAGTCTTCTTCTTCGTCTTTCGTTAGATCTATGGTTTCTTCTCTTGTGTTGACACTCTTCTCTTCTCGATGCCTTGTAAACTCTAAAATCGACCTTTGCTTTTTAGGTAAAACATTTTTAGTTTTAGGGTGCCTAGACATAACTTTAGACTAGCTTAGTTTCATTATTATCCTATTGATGCAAAAGAGATAATATATTATTATAATCAATACAAGAAAGACTCAAACTCTTGCTTCAAATATTCTTTCATAATGATAGGTTTTTAGTTGATTCCAAAAGTTTTGTGCGACATCTAAGCTTAATCATAATCATTGCTTTCACCCAAGAAGAATGGGGTTGTTAAGTATTATAAAGAAACAACGAGAGAAAGATAGGGAAATAAGAATATTGACTCTTGGCTTGGATAACTCAGGCAAGACAACGGTGGTCAAGAAAATCCTCAATGAGGACACTGATAAGGTATCGCCTACCATGGGGTTTCAAATAAACACAGTGATTTACGGCGACTATACTTTAAACATATGGGATATAGGCGGGCAGACTACCTTAAGAAGTTTCTGGGGCAACTATTTTGAGAGAACGAATGTGGTCATGTGGGTTGTAGACTGCTTGAGTCAGGAAAGACTAAGAGAATCTTATAAGGAACTCAGAGAAAAAGTAATACTGCAAGACAAACTTGTAGGAATTTATTTGGCGGTATTGGTCAACAAAATTGATCTAATAAATGCTGAAAAGTTCACAGTAGTCGAGGAGCAAATAAGAAACGTACTAGACTTAAACAGCCTTCCCGATAAGAATAAGATAACAGTTCAGTTAGTGAGCGGAAAAACCGGAGAAGGATTACCACAGGTTCTCAATTGGATTACAACTAGAGTGTACTGAGGACAATCGAGAGGCAGTAACGCTGCTCCCTTAATAGGGCCAACGGGGCTCCATTCGGTTAAATATCTCGAAAATTATTTACTTTGCATTTAGATTATTAAGGGAGCGTTTTTATACATTTCGCGTACTAATATTTCTCGATAGAGTTAAATTCATTTTGACATTGCAGGCGACAGACGCCAAAGAAACTTATGTAAATACTAGTTTACTATTCGGTTCAGTAGGAACCCAAATTTGTTAAAGACAAGCCAAACAATAATTTGACTTAAAAGTCAGCATTTTTTTCTTTCTGATAAAAGGGTATCTTGCCAGATAATCGTTGGGACTAATAATAAACATTCGCTTTCAACACAAAGAACTAGTACACCACTTATCGCTATCTTTCAACTAGGGAATCAATTCTGTCTCACCAAAGGTACTTGAAGATGACTACGGGTGACCAAGATAATCCTCAAGTTTTGTTGACGCAATTACTCAAAAGTGAAGAAGCAGAATATGACAACTTAATAGCAATATTAGGATTTGTTAAACCTAGTAAGAGCTCAAGATCGACTTTGGCAGCTTTGTTGCGTGGGCTTTTGACGAAAAATGGTAAACTTATGTCTTTATTAAGGAAGTATACAAGCGAGCTCGTTGGAGAAGCATCACATGTGTTACTAGTGTTCAACAATTTCATCAGAGAATTTGTTGATTGGATTGTTTCCGATGTTGTAATTCTCTTTGAAAAGTATTACGCTCAGCTTTCAAGTGTTGAGGCTGATTCAATAGAGTCGGCAAATATATCGATATTCAGCAAGCCAATCTTGCATTGCGCCAATTACGTTAAGTTTATACAGCATGTTGTCAATATCATTAGAAACCCTTTTATTATCGAGAAACTCGAGGAAACAAGTGAAGCGTACCGCCGGCTTCTTGAACGTTATCGTCATTACATAGAAGTCAAGAAGTTGAACAACATTAGTTTCAATAATGTGAGAGCCATCGGTGGTGCAGGCTGTTCTGAAAAAAGTGATAGTGTTTCTAGTTTTTTCAATTTATACCAGATCGTTGATCGATCCAAGAATGAACAAATGCTCTTATTAGAGAATATGTCTTCTATTCCCTGTGAATTGCTTTTCTTGTCTCTATCTGTTGATTCTAAGAGTGCATTTAATGCTTTGGCAATTTTGTCCATACCTAAAGAAGACCATGAACCTAGATCATTGATGTTTCCGCCATTCAGAATCAATGAGTTTACAGTTAGACTTTACAATTCCAATTTAGTATTAAAGGCTATCGATTTTGGTGCGAAGGAATCTAAATTTCAACTCACTTTGAGACCGCATGATGGAGATAGATGTATGTATTGGTTCAAGAAATTATCTGAAATATTTCCTGCTGTGACAAACGATCACGAAAATGAATCTTTTGACCTTAAAGATTTAGCTATGAAGACAACAATGGCAGGCTTGGGAATCAATGTCATTTCTCCTTGTAGAAATAATACCGAAGAAGATAATGATGAATTTAAGGGTCTTAATCTGAGCGATTCATATTACTCGCTAAACGGAGTGAAAACAAAAAGGCTGTCCGTTTCTGGGGTACAGAAAAGTGATGTAGCTCCATCTATCAAGTCGCGAGAACTCAGACCCTCCGATGAAGATCGAAAATTTTCCTCTTCATCTGGATCTTCAGCCAATTCCATAAGAAGCCAGTATGATAGGTCACTCGATATAATCAATAAAGCGTTGTGCAGCACTGCCTCGCAGACTTCAGAGGCAGATTCCAACGATAGTCAATATTTAAAGATTATAAACAGAAATGTTTATGGTATTGAAGAAGTCCAAGAGGAAAGGCCAAAGTCTTCAAGAGGAGAAGTGCTCTGTGTCGAAGAAGAGTCTGAAGCTGAACCTAAGAGTTATTATTTAAATAAGAATGATTCTATGCTTCAGCTTTCCAATGATTATCAGAACAGAGTACAGAATAAATTTGCGTCAGTGCCAGATTTATCTGAGACGAAAATCGTTAATAGGGACAATCTATTCATACTTTCAAATGGCTCCGCTATAAATATTACAAATTTTGGGAAAGATTTCAATCCAAGCTTTAACATTTCAAACACTAGGCTTGACAAAACTTCTAAACGGAAGTCTTTTTTTTCACTATTTAAAAAAAATACTACTAAAAATAATACGCAAGAGTCAACTCCGAAGGAACATTCAAATGTTTCTCCCACAGATACGACTTTCAATAGCAGTTGTGAATCTACATCTGTTGATGGAGGAGAAAATGTCTCAGTTGAAAGTTTGGTTAAAGAAGGGAATGACATATATGATTCAGCAGTTTCGCATTTACCTTCACCGTTTGCGTTACCATCATCGACTTCTACTTACTTTTTCAAACCATATGTCAATGGATCTTCGTCGAGTCTTGCAAAGTGTGCAAACGACTCTGAAGCAGATTTGGATAACAATTGTGCTCATGTGGAAGGCTTGGACATTCCCCAAAAACTCAAGGATTTGATAAATGATGATTCTTCGATTGACTTTTACATCTCACCTTCATCTCCCAAAGCGATGAAGATTTCTAAGTGGAAACAAAAGTACGGAAAGTGGGAAATGATTACTCTTGAAGAAAAATTATTTTTGAAAATAGTTGCTAATTATGACTTGAATAAGGCTTGGTTGATTCTTTTTGCAGAGGAATTCGATGATGACACAAAAGAAGAGATTGATATCCCGCTCTTGATTTTGGATATAGTTTGTTCAAAAGTTTCTGTCAGACAATCATCCGCCTTGGACTTGCAAATTTCGACTACAAACTCTATTTCACTTCAGAAAATGCAAATCATGATCCGATGTAAAACAGGGGATCTTTCAAATGCGATAATTAATAATATTAACAATATTCTTGGCGTCCTCGAATCAAACTCGTCTCGTACTGGCTTACATGGATCTAGATATACCTCATCTGATGGCACCTTATCATCATCAGTCATGGATAATAAGCCTAGCAAGTCTTCAACTTTGACAAGTTTACTGTCGTCTGTGGGAAACAAAGAAAGTAGTATACAGAGCCCCATTCAATCTCATAACATGCAAAAAGAGTTTTCTTTACTATCTATCAGCTCAGAAGATATCACAAATGCTAATATTATAAATAATCCTGAAAATACTAGGTTGGTTTTGCTAAATCTGATGCCGATAAGATTGCAAAAGCATTTGGAGAAAAATGGGAGCGTTAACAATCCTTCGTCATGGAAAATAATATCAATGTACTTATTAAGTATATTTCTCATATCAGACTCTTTTACAGGTAAAAATTTTTACTATCTTGTCCTTAACGATGGTGAAAAAGATCAAGATGAGATATGTTGGTTGATTAGTGAAGATGACAAAGCTTCTAGGATAGAAAAGATAGGAAGGGCAGGATTACTTGTTCAAGTAACGGATGAAGATATATTTATGATCGAATGCAGAGGTAAAAAACAGTTTAAGAGACTCTATGACGTACTTTAAATATTTCTCAAGTTAATATTGTATTATATAAATAATTATGCTAAAATGTTACAAAAGTGAAATTATCGCGAACTCTAGATGAGTTCCCAAACGAAAGTTGCAACCACAAAGTTTGCAGCAATTAATTATTAACATCTGAAATGGAGAGAAAGTTTCATCCAATATTTAGGCTAGCTCTTATTATATTAATCATTGAGAAGATAATGGTTGCTGTTTCCTGTTCTGAATCAGAATCTCCTTCGGAACTTATCGCACCAATCGATGTTATTGGTAATAAGTTCTTCGATAGTAAGACAGGAAATCAATTCTTCATCAAAGGTATCGCATACCAACATTCAAGAAGCTCAAACAAACATCCTACTGAATTTGAAATGATCCCATATTGGGACTCATTAACCAATGCATCTATATGCGAAAGAGATGTGAAATACTTGAAAGAAATTGGCATCAACACAATTAGAGTATACCAAGTTGATCCGTTAGCTGACCACGATCAATGTATGAATATTTTCTTAAGAAATGGAATATATGTATTAGCCGACCTATCGGAGCCGAGTTTATCAATTAATAGAGAGTTTCCAGCTTGGGATGTAGATTTAATTGAGCGGTACACTTCAGTAGTAGATTCTTTGCACAAATATGACAATGTGCTAGGCTTTTTCGCAGGTAACGAAGTAACAAATTCCAATAACAGCATAGGTGCTTCTCCGTTCGTAAAAGCGGCGATAAGAGACATTAAGGCATACATGAAAAATAAACGTTATCGTAAAATCCCAGTCGGTTATGCGGCTAGTGACAACGCCGATATTAGACACGTCCTTTCAAGCTACTTTATCTGCGATCGTGAAGAAGATCGAACGGATTTCTTCGGAATCAATATGTATGAATGGTGTGGGTATTCTTCGTACCCAACCTCAGGTTATCGAGAGAGAACAGAAGAGTATAAAAATTTCCCTGTACCAATATTTTTTAGTGAATATGGCTGTAATGTTGCGAAACCAAGACCTTTCACTGAAGTTGAGAGTTTATATGGGCAACAGATGGCGAAAGTGTGGTCTGGAGGGATTGCTTACCAATATTTTCAAGAAGAAGAACACGATGGCTTAGTGAAGGAAAACTCAGATGGATCTTTGACTATCCTTGACGATTTTTATAATTTCAAAAATAGGTTAAACTCTATTTCAGTTCAAGGAATACACAAAAATGATTATGACATAGCGTTTCTAAACTCTTCTTATGACGAGAGGGAAAATCATTGGTATGCATCAAATTCTCTACCTGAGAAACCGGATTCCAGTAAGTGCGAATGCTTGCAATCTACTCTTAGTTGCATTCTTACGCCCTACATGGAGGTCCACGAGACTTCAATTTTGAATGAACTTTGTTCAGTTATTGATTGTTCAGATATTGAAGCAGATGGATTGAAAGGTAAATATGGAAGATTTTCGGATTGTAGCATCAAGCAGAAGATATCTTATGCATTAAATAAGCATTACTTGACAAATGATAGAAGAAGAGCATCTTGCGAAATGAGCGGAAGAGGCATACTAGTGACTAATAGCGGTGAGATTGACTTAGCTAGCATATATGCAGGAGATGGACGAACTTGTCAAGAAGCAATAGGTGACGCAATGAACTATGAGAAAGAGAAACACAACCAAAGAATCAAGAACTATTTAAAGCCGATTCAATACATTGTACCAAAAAGTAACTTTCATAGTTGGGCTAGGAAAAATGTAGCCCAGTCTGGGGCCCCATTGACATCATTTCCTCATTTAAACAATCTTTGGCTCTTCATGGGAATATTGTTTGTAGTAATGTGATATCATTTATTTAGTTTACTTACAGGAATACGTTACCATCACGTTAACCAAAACGGTTATTAAAGGTCAATCGAATCGTAGAGAATATAAGACAAAAAAACCATTGAAAGCTATGCGGTAGATATTCTCATTAATATCGAAGCTATTAGATCAATCATCCTTTTTTGGTCCCCACTTAAGACCCAAAAAGCCACTATTGCCATTAAACTTAGGAACATAATCCTTTGGCTGAAACTTTGGTTCAAGTATGTAAATTCTCTTATGTCCAACCACATCTAATGCAATATAAGCATATTCCGAACTCCAAAATGAATTATCTATTTGTTCTGAAGTTACCGTACCGTGTTGTCCTATATCTGACTCAACATGAAATTTCATGACGTGGTGATCTTTTCCATCCTGACCTTTTGTTCTAATGCTTTGTATTGGTCTATTACGTACCCACTTGTCAGCAGGAACTTCGCCATATGCTTTTAACCTTTCGCCCTTTTTCATTCCTAGGGCCGATTGAACTTTTTCATTATCCTCAACTAGCTTGACTACCTTATTAAATGCTCTGGTATCACCTGATGGTAAGAATAACTCGCTAAACACCAAATATAAAACTAGAGCAGAGATCCCGAGCGCTCCGATGACAAGTAGAGTTGAAAAAGAGAATGTAAATGCTCTCGTAATCCTCAGAAGAATCAATTGACCTTTAGCATTCTTATTGGAAGGAGGTGGAGGTGGTGGAGGAGGGGGAGGAGGTGCAGTTTTGGTTGAGTAGTTCCTTTCATGCTTTAAAGATATTCTTCCACTTTCTAGTACCGAAATGTTCATCCTTCCTTGTAATTTTGAGATATTTGAGTTAAAGTTACTTGCCAGATAACTAGATGCGTTTCTTGAGCATAATGGAGAGCGGAGCGAAAGTACTCTTACTGGTGCTTTTGTTAACGCATTGGATTTCAGTCCTAATCCTATAAATGCATGTGCCATTCGCAGAGACATTCTGAAATGACAAACGCTAATCATCTTAAGGAGATTACTTTGTTACGCTTTATGTGTTTTGTTCAATTGGATCTGCGTTATACTTTAACTTCATTCATGTCAGCCGACAAAAGTTTTGTGGGAGACTAATATGACACAAAGATAAAAGTGAGAGGGTCATGATCAACCTCTTTACGGGGATATGATGCTTTCATGAAAAAGATGAACCATATGGATGCTCCCAGTCACTTCGATGCAAAGAGCTGAAAATACCTAATTAGGATTCATTAATAGTATGCTCTTCATTTCAGTAGTGCAGCTTGACAAGCAGAAAAGGGTTAAACAACACAATTTCAAACATCCTCAGGGTTTGTGTTGGAGAATGTATTGATAACATTGTAATATCCACAAACGAAGATTAGTTTTGATTGAAATATGTTTCAACACATCATATACATAACAGTGTGCATTTTAAATGAAGCACAAGGGTTTATACAAATGGAGCCTAATTACATAATCGTCTAGACGCCCGTGTGGCCTAATGGTTAGGGTATTTTCTTCCGGTGATAATGATTGCGGGTTCGAATCCCGCCATGGGCTGACACATTAATTTTTTGTGCTTGCACGCTTTGATTTTGTTTTACAATTTGGAATAAGGATTATGATGGCAGGTCCATACTTTTTGAAGAGAGAAAAGCTTCAAGAGCAGATCTACGGTTGACAACTTTTGCTAGACTTGAATTCTATGAAAGCTTGGGTGAAATATTTTTTTTTGTGATCTTAGCAAAATATCCTGGGTCTTACGCATTTTGTCCATAGGGCTAGTGCCCCTTTGTGTGACAGCACCAATTTTTTTTTGTATCACTAACCGAGCACTGAGGAAATTTTCAGCATCTAAAGTGACATTGAAAAAAATTGTTTTTTAACTTACTATCACCTTTCAATAGATAATCGTAAAGATGGCTAAGATCAGTCAAGGTAGGTAAATATAAAAACAGAAGACCAGAGCATGAGAGAGAGAAGCGTATTAAGCAAATCGAGCAAACCAAACAAAGCAAATGTTATTTAAGAATGGTCACTATGGATGTGAACCGCATGAATGTCAGCGCCTAATGATAGCTGGGATTTGCGGGCCACAGACTAACAATAAATTAACTCATTCACGAGACGAAATGATACTGTTACAAAGCAATGCCTCAGAAGTTTATTTTCAATATTCTACGATGTTAATTGGAATCAAATAAGAAAAGGCTTTAGACAAAAGAGACTAAATTTCGAATTAGTATTAGAAGGCTTACTACTACTGTATCTTTTCATGGCAAAGGCTCTTATGTTTGTCGAATCAATATACTAACTACTTATAGACGTTTCATCATCTCGCTCTAAAGCAAGAAAGGCATACTTCACCTCATCTTCTGCTGAGAGAAGAGCATTGTTATCAGCCCCATTGTCTAAAGAATTGAAGCAGAAATACAACATTAAATCATTGCCAATCAGAAAGGATGACGAAGTTTTGGTCATCAGAGGCTCCAAGAAAGGTTCTGAAGGAAAGATCAGTTCTGTTTACAGATTGAAATTTGCTATCCAACTCGAAAAGTTGCAAAAGGAAAAATCTAATGGTGCATCTGTTCCAATCAACATTCACCCTTCCAAGGTTGTTCTCACCAAGTTGCACTTGGACAAAGACAGAAAGACCTTAATTGAAAGAAAGGGCGGTAAGCTTGAGTAAATCCTTTCCATCTTGAAATAAGTAATAAATAAATCTGAAAACTGTTTATTAGTATGAATATATCCTAATGGTAGACATTAATCGTAGATATTGGCAACGTAGTGTTTGTCGTGCTTTAATTTCTAAAGCACGTGATGAATTATTGCGGACCTAGATATTAGAGTAGTGAATCTAATATATATCATGGGGCAAGCAGAGACCACGTACATCAAGCAAGTGCTAGTTATTATATAATATAATGGCATCGCCCGAACAAGACTGCGAGATTTTTAATGGGTTTGGATCTTCTCCTTTAGAGAGAAATCCTTCGCAGTCGGGGCGTAGGACAAAAAAGAGATGGTCATTTCATGATAACTCTAAACCAGATTTGGTTGGTATTCCATCAGACGCAGCGGTTTCGAAAAGAAGGTTGAGTGATATAACAGGGGTTGATGGGGTACACACAGAGATTGATCCATATCATATTTCTCCTGCCCAATTATACTCGACAGAATCAGGAAGATTATTCCATGCTGGAAAGATTTGTATTGCTCTTGCGGGATTGCCAGGAAGAGGCAAAACACATTTATCAGTATCTTTAACGAGATATCTTAGATGGCTAGGAGTAAAAACGCACCTGTTTCACTTAGGAGATTATAGAAGAGCTAGCGCCGAAGACGATATTCGTTACGACCTATTTGTCCCGTCTCCGAATACTCAAAGGGCTAATAAAATCCGCAAGAAAATTGTCGATGAATGTCTTAATGATATATTGAATTTTTTCAAGAAGGATAAGGGCCAAGTGGCAATTTTTGATGCTGTTAATGCTTTACCGGAGTATAGAGTTGAATTACACAAGATCTTCACTAGTTTAGATATTCAAGTTTTATTTGTTGAGAGCTTAGTCACTGATGACTCAATTGTTATGAAAAATATGGAGGAAGCGGCAAGATCTTCCCCTGATTATAAGAATTGGGATTACCAAAAAGCCTATAATGATTATAGCGAAAGAATCAAGTTTCTTAGTCCATTTTATCAGGAGATGGGTACTGAGAGTGGCAATCTATCATACATCAAGTTCATTAACTTTGGAGAAAGGATCGAGCTACATAATTCGAATTATGGTTACTTAATAAATAAGGTTGTTTTCTTCTTAATGAACTCCAGGATTAAAGTGGGCTCCGTATATTTTGCTACTTGCAACTCTTTGGATTACACTAGTGATCCACCTTTAGACGGTGCTGGTATTTTACATGCCAAAAATTTAACTACTTCCCTAGTTTCGCATTTAAGAGCAAAAGGGAAAAAATACATCAAAGATATGCACGACAAAACAAGGCCACAGGTAAAAAGAGAATTATCTGTTGAAGAGAGGCACCCGACCGCAGGTGTCGATGGTACCGATGATGATTCGCTTGTTGTTTGGACTTCAGTTAAGAACAGAAATATTCAAATGGCAAGGTTTTTTGCTGAGCATAATGTCAAAATTCGCCCTAGAATACAGCTTTCTCAAAAAAATTTGGGAGTCGTTGCAAATATGACAGACGAAGAGATTGAGCGCAAATTTCCGTCTGAATATGAACTGTTTTTGAAGGATCCATATCACCATAGGTTTTCAAGAGCAGAATCATATCATGATTTAGCTATAAAAATCGAACCTTTAATTCTAGAGATGGAGAGAATGAGTGGAGATATTTTGATAATCGCGGACGAGACAATTTTGAGAGTATTTTATGGCTATCTAATGTCGTGCTCATGTTATGATATTCCTACTTTAAATTTTAAGGAAGACGAGATTATTGAGATAAAATTTAATGCATATTCTAACACAGCAGAAAGAATTCCTATAACTAATGAGAAGTTTAAGTAGTCCATGTATAGCAGTATATTATCAGGTATTACATTTAATTAAAGCAAATTTGGTTGGTATATATATATTATACAATTTTTTGGATTTTGAGTATTTTTTTAATCTTCTTTTTTCCCTTTGTCGTACATATATCGGTTCGATGAATGTTCAAAACATTATTCTAAATATATTTAGATTATGATTACAAGAAACGTTAAATATGACGATTAATTTAGTGCCTACAGCGACATACTTTGCTCCAGATATATCTGAATCCGTTAACTTCAGTCCTGGGGATGGACCGCATTCGACTGATGGAAAGACGACACAATTATCGGAATTCGTTATTAATGCTGGAGGAGAGGACAGAGACAAGCCAAGCGAGGCCAGCAACTCAGCGTTGGGTCAACTAAGAGCTAAATTGACGAGCGTACAGGATAAGGTCAATTTTTTTCTCACGCAGAGAATGCAAAGTGAAAAACGGAATTCAACTGGACCGCAGCAGTCAGACAGAGATCTAGAGGCTAACCTCTTGGATGATGGGGGAGAACAGGAAGAAGAATGAACTTCTATAGAAGCTCAGAATGAAAAGATTTAATCAATGAAATCGTCTTAAAAACTTATTCATTCACTTCGGTCAACATACTATAGTCAGCTATGTATTCGATCACTTAAGAAAATTGGCACGGTTATTTGCTTTCAATAATATATCAAAAGTGGAAATACCTGATCATATGTCATTTTCAAATTAAATGCATTTATATACGTATATCAAATTCATGCTAGGGTTGTAAACCCATCATTTATTATACAGATGAACGGACTCTGAAAGAATAGCAAGGACTTCCAGATGATCAATTTTGAGGTGGTCCAACGATTTTACTCATGCCGTCAATAGTTTTCTCTAAAGTTGTTTCTAAGTAGACTTTCTTCTTCTCAAGTCCACTCTTTGTTTCTAAGAATTCTTTTTCGTCTTTATCAATACTAGTCAAATACGAGTTCACATCACATGAGACAAAGGCCTTACCAATTCCTTGCCATACCACTTCTCCTGCTTTCACATCACATAGCGAGTTCAATGAAGTAGATGTTTGTTTAATCAAGTTTATATTTGAATCGACTCTTTCTAACTGGAGATTGCACATGGACAACTCAGCTCTTGACTTATTTAGCTGGTTGTCCATCTCCATTAATAGTTTCTGCAAAGCCTCCGGATTAACTGACATCTTGAAGTTTAAATAGGTTCAATCTCAATATACGCCAATAAAATTAGCTTTAGGACAGCTCGGATTTTTTTTTTAATTTCGAGCTTCTTAAATTTCATACTACCTCAAAAATTGTCACTTTGTTGATAAAAAAGAACAAGTATGCTAAGAGGGATCCTTAAAGCATCTTTAGGATCGAGAAGTACCCTGAAAACGACTGGGGTTTACTCACTTGTCTGTAAATCAAGTTATGCAACCAGTGGATCCATTATCCTGAACGAAAACCAAGTGAAGTCGTTGGGGACAGACAAAACAATCGAAAATAATATCCAATCAGAGACTAATAGACTTAACAAAACTCGTTCAAAATTTTGGGATAAAGCAGAAGTCAAATTTGATCCCAAGTTAAATCTTTTTGAGATCCAGTTAGATGGGAAGACTATTAAAAGTCCTTTAGGTCATCCTTTGGCTCTTCCCGCCCAGAAGAAGCAATTAGCATATTTAATAGCACATGAGTGGTCTAACTTACCGGACTCAAAAATCAAGACAAACTCTTTACCTTTAACGTCAATAGCCGCCCGTTCGATTGACTTGATAAACATAAACAAAGAGGAGAATGTTAATGAAGAGGCGATAGCTAAAATCGGCAGTTTAACGGACATTAAATTAAACTTATTGAACTACTTGGATACAGATACGTGCTTAGTTTTTGCGGGCTTCCATGAATATCATGGGACCTTTAGGAAGAAACAGGATGAGCTCTATTTTCCTTTAATCGAAGAGTTTGAACAATACTTCAATAAATATGCCGAAATGAAAAGAGGTGCTCTTACCTCGGTCGAAAAAGTGAAATTACAATACATTGACACTGAAGTCGATGGACTAAGAGGAAACACACAGTCACCAAATGTAAGAGGTATAGTCTTCCATTGGTTGAGCTCCTTACCTATCTATGACTTGATAGCTTTGGAAAAGGCTGTGTTAATGTCCAAGTCTTTCTTATGTGGTGCCACCTTGCTAAGATCTAATTGCTCAGATCCTGAGTTGATGAAAAACTTATATCAAATCAATAAAAGATCCGTGGATGAGTATTTCTTCAGGTCAGTTGATGAGATAATTGAAATGGGAAATTTGGAAACCATTTTTCAGACCAACGAATGGGGAGAGGTTGAAGACACACATGATGTAGACAAAGTAGATTGGATTAGAAGCTTAACAAGCGCTGCTTTGTTGAGTCATTAAATACTATTTATACCGAAGTATCTTTATTTGTACATATATACCTTATCTGACACTCTCATCTCAAAATAAGTGCGCCTACTAAATAATTATGGGATTCTCGCTAAAGGATGAACGCTTTTTAGTATAGATAGATTTAACTACATAGTACAAGTTTAGTATTTGGTTAAACTTGAGTTTGTTTTATTTTGTTCAAGGATTTAAATATCTCAGTCTCTCCTTTCACATCTGTTTGCCAATACGTCCTAATTCATTAATTGGAGTTCTGGGTTTCAAAAACAAACGCTTAACGCGTACCTTAAATTTAAATTGGGGCTCAAGAGTGATTCAAAATGCTTGAAGAAAAGGCCCTTGATGAAAACTTGAAAACTTATATCGCTGAGCAAACGCCGAGGAGAGTGAAAGTATACCTATTGGAAGGTGAAGATTGGCTTGATAACGGTACCGGATACTGTATTGGAGAGATAGAAGAAGATTCACATAAACCATGTTTTGTGGTAAAAAATGAAGCCAAGTCTGACGAAATAATTCTTAAATCAACATTAGAAGGCAACATACAGTATCAGAGGCAACAGGAGACTTTAATAGTGTGGACAGATTTGTCTGGTAAGGATTTAGCATTGTCATTTCAAGAGACAGAAGGGTGCGCTGAGTTATGCGAATTTATTATAAGAATCCAACAAGGAAACTACAGCCCCAACATATCGTTATACTACGTTGTACCGAATTTGTCTGACGGCGATGATATTACTGAACTAATAACAGGACCAGTAACATATCCAGATGACCTTGAAATAGACAATATAGAATCGTTGCAAGAGATTATTAATCAAGGTCTAAATTCACAATTCACAAGAAGTTGCCTACTGAGATTTATTGTTAATGAGCTGTACTTTCTTCAGATTATTAAAGTTTTTAACGAGGCCGAAAGAGAAAAGAAATTGGGAGCATTATATATGTTGAGCGATATTACGAAATCATTAGTCCTTTATAATGATTCAGCATTCATTGAAGATATATTGTCATCGGAAGAAAAGTTAATGGGCTTGCTGGGCATTTTAGAATATGATAATGAATATCCTAACTTTAAAGCCTGTAACAGAATGGCTTTGAAGTCGAAAAGCTTTAAGACTGTTATTCCAGTGGATCGCATATCAGTTTTTGAAAGAGACTTTCATCTAAATTTTTTAAAGGATGTCGTTTTCGCGAGGTTCTTGGATGACCAAACATTCAACTTCATTTCTTCTCTAATATACATGAACCAGGTGGAAATTATCAATTACGTGAAAGACCCTAAAATTCTTAAGATGTTATTCAAAATCTATGATGGGGGTGATATAAATTTAAAACGAGATGGAGTGAGAATGCTACACCAGTACGTTTTAATTGCCAAATCTTTGCAAACATTCCAAAAACTCGATTTTTTCTCTCTTTTGGTCAAGAATGGTCTTTTCAATATGATTACCTTTGCATTAATGGATCTGGAAAATATAATCAGAGTGTTGGGAACAGAACTAATTGTGATCATTATTGAGCATGATGTATCTTTAGTAAATTCGGTTGATAATGAGGAACCCATCGAAATTCCCCAGCCTCCTTGTGGTGCTGCAATTGATGATGAAAGTGATGTTCAAATGCTGGGGAATTTCAATTTCAAATTATCGAATGATATGACTTTAGTTTCAGTTTTGACGAAATTATTGTTAGGTGACAAAAATCCAAGTTTAAAGGGTCAGGCGTTTGAGGCGCTAAAAACATTGCTAAGCTCTAGAATAGTGTCGAATTCTCATTCTCCTAGCAGTGATTTTGAAAATGAGGTAAATAAGGGAGAAGATAACTCGAACACTTCAGAAGATTCCGATGACATTACTACGACTAACTATTTCAAAGCATTTTATAGGAAAGTTGCTCCAGAGCTTTTCAACGGCATAATAAATTTAGCGGATTCACATAAAGACAATATTCAAGGTAAGATAAAAGATGACCAATTGTTATATCAGCATTTGTGCGATTTAATAACTTTCTGCTGTAAGGAACACGATACACAGATGTCTCAACCTTTCTTCATCGATAATAACATTATATTAGGGGTTGCTAGACTCATGAATCCAGCTTTCAGGGTTACAGTTAATTTAAGTGCCTTAAGATGCCTAAAGAGCATAGTGATATTGAACGATAATATCTACTCCCAGTATATCATAAACAACGATATTTTAAAATATTTTTTCGACTTTTTCGAATCGATTGTTGATGAAGATAATTTACCCAATTCAGCATGCTTGGATTTCATTGAAAATATAATCTATAGTTGTGATGTTAATATTTCAAAGAGGCATAATTATAAATTATTAGCAACCAATATTTATAAGAATTACAAGGAGTTTTGCGACCTGAAAATTAGCTACGTTAAAACAGGAAAGTCTTTAATAAGACTTGTTGAGAATGGGTTTTATGAAAACGCCAATAATAGCTCAACGAAGAATGATACCAGCTTCGATTCGGATGATGACTTTGTAACCCAACATAATGCATCTACCCCTGTTGGAGAAATTGAAATTGAGGATTCCAATTTTATGAATGAAAAAGTGGTGACTTCGCCTAAGCCTGTGAATTTGTTTGAGCATATAGAGAAAGATATGGGTCCCCTATCTACAGATGAACAGCTATCATCTGAGGTACCCAACATTAAGGGTACCTACGATAATGAAGAAGATGCTATGAGTGAACATAACCAAAGGAAGAGACTAGCATCAGGCTTAAAGAGCAAATTTTCAAGCGCAAGCAAGAAAATAGCCTCTAGTTTACGATAATTTTCTACTTGCTTACTCTTAATTTAATTTAGGTAGTAATAGAATATAAAGGAAAATCTAATGTAAAATTTTAAAATGCAACCCTCGGCTCGGACGCATATATAAAGCTACAATCGCTCAAAAATGTGGAGATGAGATAAATTCGTATTTTCTAATTTCCAGTCAAAGAATATGGGATTGGATCAAAAATACTTAGAGAATAGCTCATGGAAGCCAAACTTGTTCAAAGGGAAAACTGTGTTCGTCACAGGAGGGGCTGGATCTATTTGTAGAGCTCAAACAGAAGCGTTAGTTTTATTGGGAGCAAATGCCGCAATTGTGGGCAGAAACCCTTCCAAGACAATTGAGGCAGCTAAGCAAATTAGCATGTTACGAAAGGAATCAAAGGTTATATCTTGCGAGGATACTGATGTGAGAGATATGAAATCTTTAATAAAAGCAGTAGACAAAACAGTCAAAGAGTTAGGAAGAATAGATTATGTTATTGCGGGTGCTGCAGGTAATTTCTTGTGTGACTTTAATCACTTGTCATCCAATGCTTTCAAGTCAGTGGTGGAGATAGATCTTTTGGGCTCGTTCAATACTGTCAAAGCTTGTTTTAATCAATTGAGGAAAAACAAAGGAGCAATCCTCTTTGTTAGTGCGACATTACATTACTACGGTGTTCCTTTCCAAATACATGTGGGGGCAGCCAAGGCTGGAGTCGATGCCTTGTCAAATGCTTTAGCAGTAGAGTTAGGTCCTTTAGGTATCAGAAGCAATTGTATCGCTCCTGGTGCAATTGCAGACACTGAGGGATTTGAGAGACTAGTTCCAAGCTTAAGCGCATTTGAGAAAAAGGTACCATTGCAAAGAGCTGGTTCCGTTACAGACATAGCTGATGCTACTGTCTATTTATTTTCACCGGCAGCAGACTACATTACCGGTACTGTTCAAGTTGTTGATGGAGGAAGCTGGCATATAGGTTTGACGAATCCAGATTCTTATCCGGTAACCATAATTCAAAGAAATAGTGATTCAAATGGCAAGTTATGATCGCCTAATGGAAGCTTTTCAACTGTTAACTATTTAGCTGTTTAACAGTTCAAATTTTTACGTCTTTTAATGATAGTCGTCTTTTTCAAACATTAAAGTCGTGTAGAAAGTCGCGTTTTGTCTCTATCAAATTCGTAGTTTTAAAGCTATGATCATTTTTTGGAAGGGTGAACGGACAACAGCGAGTACAATAAATATAGCAAAAATATTATACGATCACGATGTCTATTGATCCTGAAACTCGCAGAAAGTTATTGCAGCTACAAAAGAAAGGGCTTAATAAAAGATGCTGCGATTGTGACGCTCCGAATCCTCAATGGGCATCGCCAAAGTTTGGTATCTTTATCTGTCTCGAATGCGCAGGAATTCACAGAGGATTGGGTGTTCACATTTCATTCGTACGGTCTATCACAATGGATCAGTTCAAATCAGAGGAAGTTTTGAGAATGGAGAACGGGGGCAACGAGAATTTGCAAAACTACTTTACAGAAAATGGAGTTGATCTAAGTTTGCCAGCAGCAGAAAAATACGATAATTACGTAGCAGAAGACTACAAGGAGAAGCTTACTAGTGAAGTTGAAGGTAAAGAATTTGTTCCTAAAGACCACTCTGATAAAACTTTACCCTCAGCATCGAATTCGAAGAGCATGAGTAACGATTCTATATCACAACAACCTATTCAGTCTAGACGAGGAACACCTACATTATCAAGAGATCAAAAAGCTAAAAACGAAAATTATTTTGCAGAGCTAGGCTCTAAGAACGAAGAAAGACCGAATCATTTACCGCCGTCTCAAGGGGGAAAATATTCCGGTTTTGGAAATACTCCAGCTCCAGATACAAGGAGTGGAGGTTCATTAGCTGGATTTTCTCTAGACAGTATCCAAACGGACCCTTTCGGTTCACTAAGCAAAGGCTGGGGATTGTTCTCCTCAAGTGTGGCCAAGTCAATAAACGAAGTAAACGAATCAGTTATCAAACCCACAGTTAATCAACTTCAAGAAAGCGAACTAAGTAATGAGGCTAAAAAGGCAATGGCTCAATTTGGCCAGAAAATGCAAGAAACAGGAAAATATGGCCATGAAACCTTTCAGTCATTTACTAATGATATTCATGAGAAAGGGCTAAATAAAACCTTTGACGCAAAATTTGGAAAACTATTTGACGGTTTGAGTATTCAAGAGCAAGAATCAAAGTCAAACGCAGCATTTGGTTTAGAAAAACCCAAAGAAAAGACGAAGTTGGATGCTATCAATGGTAGCAAATCTACGCAAAAAAGCACAGAAGAAGAAGATGAGGATGGATGGGACGATTTCTAGATGTTTTTTTTTGAAAAAAAGAAATATCTTGGTAACACTCTAAATATATCGAAATATAGACACCCACTTGTTCAATTTTAGAAATAAAACGAAATCAAGCGGATCATCAAGAAATTCTAATATTACTCAGCTAATTATGGTTGTAGACATTTCCAGTTTTTAGAGTGCCGATGCTCATAAGGTAACAGTCGTATTCATGCTTGAAGGTTTGATAATTGTGATAATACGAATCTTTTATATAAAAAAATTCGACAATTGGCCATCCTAAAATCCAATCAACAAGACCAATATCTCTAACTACTGATGAGATAATGGAATAGACTAAACCTAAGAAGGTGCCAATTAAGCATCCTACCATAACTTGAGGAATAGTATGGTACAATAAATATACTCTTGAAAAAGCAACGAGTAGCGAAATGAAAGATAATGCAGTACATCCCAATATCTTTTGACGATAAGTTAAGTGTACTTTGAACAAAATAATGCAAATAAAGTATGATGCAAAGAATCCCATAAATTGTGAATGTGCAGATGGCATACCATAGGTCAAGCCGTATGATCCAGACCCAAAATCCTTATGAAAATCAGGACGGGGCAGCCTAAGTATTACCTTAAAGATCTTATTCAAGATTTCTCCTACTAAGTGTCCCCCAACTATAATAACAGGCTCTATTTCTCTAGTAATTAAAAACCACGATGTATAGAATACCATAATGTAGATCGGTAGCAAAGAAAGATGAACCGAGCATACTGAGATTAAATCAGTTGGATCGTAGAGTATGTAAGTATGGTCAAATGGCACTGGATCATAAACAAATGAATTAATTGCGTTTGTTGACATAGTGAAATTCACACGAAGATGAATAATGCTTTTTATTTTTATTTCAACTAACGAAAATGAAATAAAAATGGAAGGACCACGTAGGCTATCGATAAATTGAAAAAAGTAGAGCGTCTGATTTCTGGACCCTCTAAACAGACTTTTTTCCAGCCTAACAAGCTTAAAAATGTCTTGAAAATTCGTTTAAATTATTATCGCGTAATATAATCGAGATCAAGTTGTACATATGCTTTCCTCTCTATTAAGAAAATGTGAGAAAAGTTGTATATTAGAGGTTACCATTAATTCTATGAGACATTAAGGGACATGAGAGACATGACTATATGATATAAATGACAAAAAATGAGAGAGTAATAATTTTGGCTGCTATAGCAGCCTAAATGGAGACGAGAAACAGAGGAACATATGTTTCTTCGATTAGAGAATAAATAAAAAAAAATCAAAGTATCTTCACGTAGCTTTTACTATAAGCTACATTGCCTCTTCTGTTGATCTCTTGCCCACCTAGCAGCATCCTTGGTAGAATTTTGGAATAATTGGTTGGAACGTGTTTTCTTGATAAAGTCCGTGACCCACTGTTGTTGATAAACTTGCTTGAACTCACCATTTGGAAACATTGCTGCAATATCGCCGATCAACCCAGTAGCAGATCTTGCGACTGAATCCATTGATGACAAATTGATATCTCCAGACACATTCTGAATGAATTGAAATATTGATCCAACATAAGGGTATATTACCTGGGGCAACGCATGCAATCCACCAACAATTCCAACATAACAATCCAATACAGATTCTTTAATGTTAAGTATATAGTCAACAGTATCCATGCTACTATCTTCAGGTTCTATATTTGAAGCCTGAATACAAATCTGCATAACAAAGTCAGTGTAAGGCTGAAAGTTACTGTCAATTGATCCAGCAATGTCTCCGAAACAAGACAAAATGGGCGGCCTCAACTCTCTCCTAACATCAGCATTATTCAAATTTGCACCAAGAATATTCATCAAGCCTTCCAAATATGGAAGTATTGCCCTCCCTAATGAATGTGACAAATCGGCCACTAATCCGACAGCTGTACTTGAAGTAGGAGAATCAGTGTTTTGAAGCACTTTCGTTAAGAATGGTAAAAATGCGTCCATATATTTCACAAAATGTTCACCAATTGCACCTGCAATTGCAGAAATAGCTATCAAAATGTCCTCTTCTATTAAAGAGTTTGGTTGCTGGGCTTCAAGCAACTTTAAAAGCATTGACATCAAATTGTCAGAGGCTGGCAAAACATCATTACCCAATCGCCTAATCACATTTGTTAATAATGACAAAATATTCACTTGAAGTTCTTCCAAATTAGCTCTATCTTCGCCTCCCACAATTTGAGATTGCATAGAGATTGCAGTTTCTAGCCGGTTCAAGGCTTCGGTAGCTACATTTTGAACAACAGGCATCGTATCTGCACCACTATAGACAACAAAAGTAGATAGAGCTTCATAAGCCGATGCTCTTGAGCTTGCTTCATTGTTTGTTTTGTTAGTCAATTGAACCAATATTGGCACAACAGTCTCATAATATGGCGACATGACTGTAGTTTGGTTGGAAGCACCGTCGGAACACAATTGCTCCACTAAGTTCATTAATGTCCAGCAACAGTTAGTAGAAACCCTTGGGTGATCCTGCAATCCCGTAACCAATGCCTCCATGAGACTCGGTAAATGTTGATTAATATCGATAGCGTCAATGACCAAATCAGCAATTCTACCAAGACACCATGCAACAGTTTCCTTCACTTGTAAGGATTCATCTCTTATCAATAAAAGTATAGGCTGCAAGGCCTGTCCAATCAAAACTCGTAACTGATCGCGATCCGGACCATCTAAAATGGAACCAAAGGCCATTACAGATGCCTCTCGCGCTCTCCAGCTGTCTGTATTGCTTATGTTTGCTGCAACAAATTGTAAGGTAGGCTCTACCACATAGTTTGCTGTATTTTGAGCAAATAATTGTAAGCAAGCTCCAGCTGCCATTGCTACAGACCAGTCGTCGTCCTCAGGATCTTCATTCTGTCTTGTCAATAACGTCAACAAGGTCGGTAAGACATCTTGAATTGCTACTAGCGTAAAGTTATAGCTGACTAACTCAGGGTGCGCATCAGCTCCATACTCTTCCCGTTGCAAAGCGATCTCTAATTCCTCTTCGCCAACCGTGGACCAAAATTCAACGGCCATACAGGCCACCTTTTCATCTGGACTCTGCATTCCAGATACTGTCAATCCATAAAGAGCCTTTTCCATGTACAACGCCATGAATCTATAATACAAAGACATTATCCTTGCAAGACAACCGAAGGCACTTGCTTGAATTTCAGTATCATCAGCCTGAGTAGCCTCACATACAACTTGCATAATATAATTCCTTTCACCTTCACGCTCAAAATTAAACTTAATGAATTCTAAAGAGTTCACCAATGCGTTTAATGCTGTGAGCCTGACCGCTTTAGAAGGTTCGTTGCTTTGAACACCTTGAACTATTGCAATCAAAATGCCATTTGCTTGAGCCACAATAGCGGAATTATTCGGATCAGCACTCTCACATATATAGCCAATTGTTAATAGAGAAGCTCTCTTTATGTTAACTGGTCTTTCTGTCTTTGTATTCTCAATTATGATTGGAATTAATTCCGGCCATTCACTTCTAGGCAATTCGATATCTGCTATTGCTGCAACTAATTGCGCTGAAGAACCCGCGACTCTTTCATCACTTGTCATTAATGCTTTTAAAGATGTCTCCTTTATCTTCGTCTTTGCCGCATGGTCCAAAGCAATCCAACGATTTTGCTGTTCCACCCTAGACTTATTATTCTTTGATGTTAGCTGGTTTTTCAAGCCTATACCAGCTAACATCCTTACTTCAGTCTTAGCTTCTTCATTTGCTAAAGCGTCAGTGAGTAAGCTTATATATTCGACAAAATGATTCTTGGCTGCTTCATTTAATTGAGCTTCAGCTTCACTTCTTTTACTTGGATCAGGATTAAGAAGAGCATTTTCTAATACCCGAAGAATATCCATTTTATGTTTGCTTTTCCTATATCGTTGAACTTAGACTGCCTTCTTCTAATGATTTTAATAGATGTGACCGCCCCTTCTTCAATATCAATGAATCAAAAAGAAAAAAAAAATAAGTAGTGACTTTTGAGTAGGTAATTATAATCAACTTATTTAAGTATTCTAGCAGATTTCTGCTGCAATTCCTGACACCTGTAGTTTCAGACTTTTGAAAATATGAAATATAGACCAGTCTAAGACACTCCCTTTATCTTTCAACGTTATGGGTTTAATTCCGTGCAATGCTGGCGCCTAATTTTTTACATGGTGAGGAAAAATAAGTCGTGCGAAGGTCCTAAGTATTTTATGACGCTCCTAACGAATATAAACAAAAATTAACTACAAGCTTTTCTTCAGAATAACTTATTCATTATTAACTACTACTGATTATAGAATGGAGATCAGTCAAAGTCTCTTCCTTCTTTAGCGTCGATTCAGGGTCCTGAGAAGTAGAAGAATCAGGTATTGCTTCAACATTTGCTGAACCATTACTATTGGATGTATCACTATCATGTCTAACAGATTCAGTTCGTTTCATTAACATTCTTTCCTTCGCCTTCAACAAAGCTGCCTTTTTCTCCAACATAGCAGCTCTATTTGCAAGCTCCTTAGCACTAGCAATTTCCATCTCTTCCAATTTCTGCTGTCTTTCTAAAATTCTTTCATGTCTAATAACGTATGGTACGGTTTCGGAAATTTGACGTAATTGATTGCGTTGAGGGGCAATTGACAATCTTTTGAATGCAGCGTTTGATTGATGGGATGAATGGGAAGTACCATTTTTGCCTTCCAAAGATATTGTCGATGTAGATGACATAAATGAGGAAGTATCTTTTAACTTCGAGGCGTCCATATCAGCCGCCTCTGAATCTTCTAGTAACATTGATTTTGGTTTCTTCGATGAAGAAGAAGAAACAGACGCGGTATCCCCACGAGAGGTTGACGCAGTTAGCTGTGCCAAATTGGATAAGGACGGAATTTCATGATTCTCCTTAAATGGTCCATTCTGATGTTCTAGCGACTCATGGAATTCTTCTTCCTCATCCTCATCCTCATTCTGCTCACCACCCGTTACCTTCATTAATCTTTCAGTTCTGTATGTCTCGTATAAGAAGTCGTGAGTCAAATCCTTCAAATCCTGCAAGTGAGAGCCTAAAAGCACAGACTTCAAGATTGCAAAGTCACTATATTTGGTATTATTGATATCCACCAATCCCCATGGATACTGCCTTGCTCTTATCGTTCTAGTTTGCCCTGTATTTTTGTCTCTAACCTCAAATTCATCTTCGGACGATACAATAGCGAAAGGTTGCAATTTGGATAAAAATCTACATTCCTGAATTAAATCGTAATCGTCCTCTTCATCATAATCATCCAAAGAATTGTCAAACCTAAAAGTTGGTACGTTAAACTTCTCGATATCAATTCTAATTTGTTGCTTAAAATGTCTTAATTCCTTAGAAGTGAAAGAATCAGCCTTACTTATAACAGGAATGATATTAACATATTTGGATAATCTCTTCATGCAGCTTATGTCGAGTTCTCTCAAACCATGGCCGGTTGGAGTAATGAAATAAAGAAGAGCATGTACTCTTGTGTCCACAAAACGAGGCGTTCTCTTAATTCGAGTCTCTTCTGCCAAAACTTGGTCAAACTGCTGCCTTAAATAATTCTCTATTTCAGTAAAACAAATCTCGTTGTTAAAATTCTCACCAAAACCAGGTGTATCAACTATGGTGAGCAATATTTTCGTATTTTCTTCGTCAAGGATCTCAATTTTCGTTTCCGTCAAAGCGATTCCTGGCTCTTCATTAGCTATCGATGGATCAAAATCGTTCTTTGTCAAAATGGAAGTACTTGGTAATGCCACAGATTTCGCAGATGTGAATGCTAGCGTCTTGGTCTCTCCGATTGAGTCTCCTTCCGCTTCATAGCGATGGCTCATTACTTTCTTGCCTAACAAGCTGTTGATGAAAGTGGTCTTGCCCGTTCCAGGTTCTCCCACAACCATGAATTTAAATTTTATCCCCTTCTTAGCATCCTTCCTATAATTGATCATCGGGGAAGCATGTGAGAATGATTCTGAATCAAAAGTAACCAGCGAATCCATGTTAGTGTCTTCTCTCAGCACCTTTACCCAATTGTTATTCTAATGAAAATACTTTACGTGTTTTGTTTAAATATGCGTTCTCAACGATTTTCATTGTAGTAGCTGTTTTGTGTAAGATAATGGAAATTACACGTTAGCTATCTTCATGCATACAGAAGTCAAGAAGACGAGAATCATAATATCATACAGATAATGGAGAGCTTATCATCCAAAGTATGTTGGACTATGAGACCCTGGTTATCATAAGTGCACTGTAGAGCTTAGGGACACACTATTTTACGAAGTATGATATACCAGCGATTCAAATATTTGCGATTGTTTGGTACACTCGGATGACTACATGTTAGGAGTAAAGAAATATGTAAATATATTTTTTAATTTGCTTTTCTCTTTTTATGCCGATTGCTATTGCACAAACTAGTACATATAGCTTTGTTTAACTTGGATATATCTGCAATGTATCGTACTTCATTCAAGACTTTGTCTGCAAAGGCAGCTTCCCTGTTGGATCAAGAATTGATGTCGACAGGTGGGTTCTCTATTGACCAATTGATGGAACTTGCCGGTCTTTCGGTTGCACAAGCAATATACAGAGAATACCCTCCCAAGGAAGTTGCTAATAATAAGGTATTATTTTTGATTGGACCCGGAAATAATGGAGGTGATGGCTTGGTGGCTGCGAGGCATTTGAAATTATGGGGCTATTACGAACCAATTTTATATTATCCCAAACGGTCCACTAAAAACCAATTATATAAAAATCTACTCACTCAGTTAAGGGATCTTGAAATTCAAGAGATAAATGACTTTGATTCTCTTAAAGACCTTCTAATTCCTTCAAAAGGAGCCAACCAAACTAAATTAATAGTTGATGCACTTTTTGGTTTCTCATTTAAGCCTCCATTGCGTCCTCCATTTGACAGTTTAATATCGTTTATCTCAGAAAATCATGACGATATTCCTCCTATAGTTTCCGTGGACATCCCTTCTGGCTGGGATGTGGATGAAGGACCAGTTGCTGCCGATATCAAGTCAACCATGCTAATTAGCTTAACTGCACCGAAGCCATGCGCGAGGTTTTTTGATAAGGAAAAAAAGACCCATTACTTAGGCGGAAGATTTATAAACCAAAAAATTGCTAAAAAATACGATATTGAAGATCTTATAAAATCCTACAAAGGAGACGACTTAATAACTAAACTATAGTACAATTAAATTTATGCAGATGCCTATTTATGCCTATATATTCGTAACGAAACAATATGAAACATTCAATTTTTAAAAAGGTATTAAACCTTGTAAGTAATTTTATTGGAATATGTTGCAACCTGTGATCTAAAGGCCCTTGCTTTGATTAAAGTCAGCTTTCAAAAAATTGACAGGGAACATGAACATGAACTTATTATGAATAAAAATCATTATAAATGTCTTGACTAATCTCTTGAGGTTCTCTGCGTTTATATGCCTCCTGTCAACTATTGAACGTGTTTTGATTAAGATTTAGGGAAGGCATTTATGGAGTATTATTAAAGCAACGAAACATGGCGCCCTTTTTTTCATGGGGAATATTATATCTTGAATAATTGTAGTTATCTCCAAGGTCTAAGCATGCACTGTAGGGTCTTTGCCTTACAAATGATTTGATTTCGTGCTTTGAGTCAGATATACTTTTAATGGGCGATAGCGATAATGAACGATTATCAGAAATCATAGAACCACGACTGTTATTTACCAGTGGCAGGGAACATGTTTCTTGCAACCCCTTTCTTAACTTATTAACCCTTATTTCATTTTCACTATGTGGTATAGATGGAAGAGCTTTAGACATTTGAGACATTTTAGATGCTCTTGAAGTTACATGAGTAGCATGATCAGCTTCATCATAATCACTCCCAAATAAACTATCTATATAGCTTCCCACCTCGTAGTCCGTATTGGTGTCCCACTGTTGAAGATCATTGATATCTACATAGCATGAAATTATGTCCGATGTGGCTCCTGAACTAGTACTTTGTAACTCACTTGAATCGCCAGACTTCGTATCTGAGCCCATATCATCCGAACTCTCATAAAGTGAAGATACGGTTGTAGTTGGAATATCTGAAAATAAAGTCGAATCATCATCACTTGGAAGAGCCATTATTTGCGGTAATTGAATATTATGCGTAGATTCTAACTTCACAGACGTTGGGTTGATATGCGGTCGCTCATCCTCTTCAAAAATTGTTGGAGGAGGCTTCGAAAATGCTGCGGTATGTTGCTTGAGCTTATAGTTCTCAAAATTCAGAGAGACTGTTCGCTTTCCATTTGATTGAGGAAGATCTGGTAAATACTTGGATACCTTTCTATCTAAGCTTGGTAGCGGCGGCATACTTATTACCCTCCTCCCTCTCTCTGGTTCCAAACCAGACGCTCTTTTATACTTTCCAGTTTTCCAGTTGAAGATGGGAAGTTGCTTGGGAAGATCATCCATGGAGTGCTCTCCAGGCTTAAATGTTGATACTGCATGTTGAAATTCTAGGAAGGAGGACCTCATACTTGTAGCATCTCCAGGGCCAGCCTGCCTTTGAATACCAGAAAGAGACTTACTCATCGCAGTCTTAAGTTTTCATACGATCGTAACAGCATTCGAGGATGTGGTTTATATATGACATCTAAGTGTGTTTAATTATAGATGACTTGAAAAAGGCTGGCTGTCGCACTCTTTTGGGTAGATCAATAGCTATCATAAAGTTTTTATCGCTACGCACAATTAGCTCCTCTCGGTGCTTTGCCGCATACGCAGATCTAAAAGAAATTATAAGAGGTTTACATAATAAGTGAATTAACTCATTATCTGTTGCATTCGTTCTATAGCTGATCAAATCTAATTGCGATGAGCTCGAACTTAGTCGAAATTAAAAGTAAACTATGGAATGGTACCATTAATATTAAGATTTCATTTATGGTTGACAAGAACTCAGATCGAAAAGAATTCTTATTCACTGCTTATCGAAATTCTTACTTTCCCATACATTTTCCTTTAATTATTTCTTATTTTAAGTTGTTTGATAAACATCTCCCATATCAGCCAATATGGTTGGAATACGATAGTGTTCCGATAAAGTGGAATTTACCTATAGGTGTACTATATGACTATTTGCGTTTACCTTCAGACTCTGAAAATAGAGATGTGGAAAACTGCTGGAATATACAATTAAGGCAGAGTGACTATCCTGTCGAGCACATTATCCCATTCATGTACAAGAATGAAGACACTACTATAGCATACGAAAAATCTTTGAAGGAACTAGTTGTGAATCAATTGAAACAATCATGTTTCGTTTTAAATGGCACTTCGCGACCCATTATGAATCTCAGTGAGCATGATTCAGATGATTTATGGGATTCTATAAAATATCATAATCTAAGCCAAAATTCTAAAATAAATAATAAGATAATACCTGCGAAGATTCATAAAATTCCGCTTAAAATTTACATTCAAGGTGCATCAAATGCAATACAAGCTCCTGTATCATCACAGGAAGAAGGAAGACCCGTGATATTAGATTCAGTTTTGAAAAATCTCTTACCAGACCTATTCGCTGGCTCGAATATAATTGCTCTGGTTCATATTCATGGTATACATTCAGATTCTTTCATGGGAAAAAATGGACTCAGTATTTTTGAACTTTGGAATGTATTCAAGCATCTTGACAACTTTTTGTATGTCTTTGTGATTTTGAAAAATGACAAGTGATGGTTCAACCATATATCAACTTTTGAAAACTGCTTGTAGCCAATTTCGATACATCTTTAATTGCTTTTTTCTATTCACCAATAGTCTTCTATCTGTTGCGATTTGGAGTTCCTTGAAGGGTCCCTCTTCGCAAAAAATGCTCCTAAGTTCATCTTCAGTGAAAAAATAGACTCTGGTGCCATCCCCTCTAATATAAAAATTATCATCAAGTAATCTTCCTTTTTTAAACCGCACCTGCGCTAAATCGTATCTTCCATAGTCTCTAAACAAGATTTCACCTCCTGGTTTTAAAGCTCTTGATAGATTATTTACTGCCCGATTCCATTGATTTGGATGTAAAGCTGAAAAGACAAAAACCATAATTATGATATCTACCGAGTTTGGTTCAAGATCTTCAGGGAGTATACCATCTTCATTTGCTAGATCCCACACTGAGCTATAAGCAACGCCGCTCTTTTGGTTTTCAAGAAACGTTGGATTGGACCTCACTAAGTCAACTGCAACTGCCAGATAATCACACCCAAAAATTTTGAGATTTTGGTTTTGATTTTGCTCAAGAATAGGGAAGAAAGTGTTACCTGCACCGCAGCCTATTTCCAATATAGTTGTGGGGTCTTGGCATTCCTTACTGGTTATTTTATATAAGGTAGGAAATTCTATCTGCAACCATTTCCTATCCTTAAAAAAATTTTCTTTGTTGTTCTTATAAAAGATATCCCAGTATTTAGCCGGGTTAGAGTTGTATAACTTTTTTTCGAAATCTTTCACTGGATGCTCATACTGTTTGGATATAAACTCTTTTGCTTCTTCGATTTGTTTCTCACCCCACTCTACATGGTCCCATGCATTATGATTGAAAACTTCGCTTTCATCTTTAAGATATCTTCGGCCAAAGGTGAAAGGAGAATCTTTACCGATACGAGAGTCTAAGGGAGCAGCTTCATCACCCTCGTTGATCTTTTTGCTCAGATCACAACTTTGATAAGCTGTCGATATCGTCATTTATGTTTAACGAAATCAACCTCGTAACTTGGTCTCTTCATCTAGAAGTTAATTTTTTTTTTCTTTTTGTAATTTTTTTTCTTCTTCCATAGATCGGAATGGGCCCTGTTTTAAGATCGCCACCTATTCATAATCAATGATAGAGAAGGAGCTTCATAAAGAACATACAGTTACTCATTCCTAATACTATTGAATTACTGCTTAACTAAGTACACAAATCTATATCAATTTCATCTGTTCATAAAATGAACGTTCTCATCTAGCTCTTGTAACCTTGAGGCAGCCTGTTCGCTCGTTAGATCCCTCTGAGCTTCCCCCAACATTTCAAAGCCAACGCAAAACTTCTTCACAGAAGCTGATCTGAGTAGCGGAGGATAGAAATGCATATGGAACCAAGCATTTTGATTATGATCTTTACAATCGAAAGGGGCCTGGTGGATTCCCATCGAATAAGGAAACGAAGTGTTGAAAAGATTATCGTATTTTGTTGTGAGCTTCTTTAAAATCGTAGCTAAATCGAGTTTTTGCTTCTCATTGAAGTCATCAAGAGATCTCAAATGTTGCTTTGCGATGACCAAAGTTTCGAATGGCCAAAGAGCCCAGAATGGAACAACGACCAAGAAAGAATCATTTTCAAGTACTACTCTTTTTTTCTCCTTTACCTCTAGTTCAACGTAGTCACCCAATAAGTGCGATTGGTTTTTCTCTTTATACTTTGTCATGTTTCGAAGTTCTTCATCAACTTCAGTGGGTATAATATCAAGACACCAAGCTTGACCATGGGGATGAGGATTTGAGCATCCCATTGCTGTGCCCTTATTCTCAAAAATTTGAAGATACTTGAAAGGTGCCTTCTTTTGAAAGGCTTCAGCCATGAGGTCTCTGTAGAGCTTTTGCCAACACTCAATAACATTTAAGACGTTTTCGTCAGACATTAATGGTAATGTCAAGCCATGGTTTGGACTGAAACAAATGACAAAGCACTTTCCTCTCACTCCTTCACATTTCATTAATCTATCTTTTAAAGAGTGGCTTTCTTTGCTGTGATACTCTGGTTGATCTAACTTGACAGCTGGATAATCATTGACAAATATATAAGTTGATTCATACTTTGGATTACTATCTCCAGTAGCACGAATATTCCCGGGACACAAGTAGCACTTGGGATCAAAGGTGGGTAGCCTTTGTTTTCTGATTTCTTCCTCTGCTCCTTGCCATGGTCGCTTTGCCCTATGTGGTGAACATAAGACATAAGTGTTGGACAATGGATTGTAGCGACGATGAGAATGATTGGAAAAATCAAATTCTTGAGTCATTTCGTTATCAGTGGGCTTTTCAATAAGGTTCAGTATACTAGTCATTCTTTAAGACGTCTATATGAAAGGATTTATCTCTATATTTATAGTAAGATGAATATCTAATAGAAATTCAATAAGGCAGATTATAAATGTAACGTTACAGCGTGGTTTCGAGCGTCGTCCGTTTCTTTGAAAATTCGATAGTTGTATCATGTATGCTTGAATGCGACTGCTACATTAAACGCAATGTGAGTATTCGAGCACTTCAAAATACCGAGCTTCTTAAATGCCGGTCATGGATTCTGAGCATTAAAAGTGTAACGTTACATTATTCTATTGCTACTCTGTTTTATTCAATTATTTAAATTCTACAGAATTAATTTCCTAAAAACTAATTACTCGGTACTTGGTAAGTCATGCTTTCTGGATTTGAGAAACATGTCTTAATCACGGGATGTGCAGGGTTTATTGGATCCCACTGTCTCGAGTACTTTATTGATAAATATCCTCATTATCATTTTACTGGCATCGATAAATTAAATTATGCATCCAGTTATAGCACCAAGTATCTTACTAACATATTAAATAATAAAAACTTCACATTCATAGAGAAGGACCTTTCAGAAGAATTTGACTTTTTATTTAACTTGATAGTTAACAGTGCACAAATTGACACTATTATTCATATTGCTGCCGAGTCATGTGTTGATAGATCATTCACTCAGCCTTTATATTTCACAAGAAATAATGTACTAAGTAGTCAAAACTTACTTGAATGTGTCAGGTTAGCAAAATCCCAGAACCAGAATCTTCCCATCCAATTCATTCACGTTTCGACAGACGAAGTCTATGGTGAGCAAAGGATAAATGAGTCAGTGGATGAAAAAGCGTCTCTAAATCCTACGAATCCATATGCCGCTTCAAAAGCTGCAGTAGACATAATAGCGCAAGCCTACAAACACTCCTATAATATACCTTTAAAAATAGTCAGGTCTAATAATGTTTATGGGCCACGTCAGTATCCTGAAAAGATTATTCCCATGGCAATGCAGTCGTTGTGCGATAGACGAAAGATAAGGATTCACGGTAATGGATCTAATAAACGAAATTATTTACATGTCAGTGACTTTGTTAGGGGATTAGATCTTATTTGGCATTCAGAATCAATCGGGGAAGTATTCAATCTTGGCAACGAAGAAGAAATAGACAACTTATCTCTTGTGAAGTTGATCTGTGAAATTTATTTTGATGACAAAACAATAGACTATAAAAAATTCATCACATTTGTAAAAGATAGAGAATTCAATGATGCAAGGTATTCGCTTAATTTAAATAAACTTAAAATGCTAGGATGGAAACCTGAAATTGATTTAAAAGGAGGAATTGAAGAATTGGTGAAAGAATATAGATAGCAACGTTAAAATATCTCTTTTCAGGACACCAATTCCGCAACTTTAGTATCAAATAACGGACTCTTTATGGGCATCTCTAATGAATAAAAAGGATCTTTCATAACATAATCAGAATAATGAATATACAACTGCTTAAATATAATATTGGTAGCCTCAAGTTGTTTGTTTAGTTCGCCTCTATTAAATTTAGTTTCATTGATGGGTTGCAAATTATGCACAACAGGATTAGGAGATGTGATAATTATGAACTTTACTCCGGTCAAAGTTTGGAAGACGTATAGGTTGAATAAATCGGTTTCTATGCTTTGTAGTCCTGACAAATTGGTATTTGGATTTTGTGCTCTCCCCGTAGTGTAGAGTTTTACATTTTGATTAGGCGCTGTCCTCGCATCATCTTGCGTACCATCTATTATTGGTTTAAGCTTAGAAGCGATAGCATGAACGCCATGCAAAGTACCAGCAAGGACTAAATAGTCATTCGCTGACAACTTGTTAAGTCCATGATTAAAATCTTTCTGATAAATTAATCCCCCTGCTTTATTAAGAATATATATGGAATACACCTTCATGAAGATCCAAGTCTGTTTATATGTTGTAAGAGCATATGGCTAAAGTAAGCGTTGTGTTTTCAGATTTATGGATCGCATCTAACACAAAGTCAAGTGCTAAAGCAAGAAAATGAAAAAAAAGCTTCCCCACCAGGAGTCGAACCTGGAATCTTCTGGTTCCAACCGAGAAGTGGTTACGAAATCGTAGCCAGACGCCTTGACCATTGGGCCATGAGGAACGAAGCTTAAAAATAGATTACATAATTATAGGGCTATACGCCGATTG